GGGGACAATTTACCTACCTCGCAGGTGAGGTGAGCACCTGGTACACAGAGTAGGTGTCCGACAGAGGGGAATGTGACTTTCAAGTTCTGCCCAGTGGGAACTGTGGGCGTGCAGATCAGAGGCCGGGTGGGTTCAGGAAGGTGGGGGAGCCGCGGGCAGGGAGGAGCAGGGGCTCAGGCTGCGGCCTTGCCTGTCACACGCTCTGTGTGCGCCCACAGCAGACGAGGGGAAGAGTTCACGCCGCTGTTTCCTGAGGGAGGAGGAGGCACATCAGGGGACACAAGGTGACAGCCCCAGCCCTCACCCCGCCCCCCTCAGCCCCCGCCTGTATGGAGATTCACCTGGCACTGCTGGGGTGGTGGCGACCTCAATTCACCCACGGGTGCTGGGGGCTTGCCCCAGAGCTGCGTTTGCTCAGTGAGCTCGCTACGTGAATAGAGAAAACGATTCGAGGGAACTTCTGGGGGAGCTGGTGGATACTGTGTGGGGTGATGCTTCCCAGGGTTCTAAGGGGCACAGGGTATGCTGAGCTGGAAGGCACGGGGGTCTGAGAAGGAAGTTCCCACTGGGCCTGGAGGCCGGGGACCCAGACCTGCCCGGGGTCCTCCATGGTGTCTGAGGGTGTCCGACCCCCTGGACCCACAGACCCTCAGTGGGCTCTGTAGGTAATCTCTTTCCCCTCAGGAAAGTTGGACTTTTTTTCTCGATTAAACTCTTCATCACTTTTCTTTTGTTACTGACTTGATGATTTCCCCCTTTCACTTCCCCTCCTCCTTTAAGCTTATATCTCATTGTTATTCTTTTAATATACTTTAAAATAAGAAATACATGTTATCTTTTTTATATCTTTCAAGGACCCCATGAAGAAGATTTACAACGTCCTTATTAAAAAAAAACAAACAGGGCTTCCTTGGTGGCCCAGTGGATAAGAATCTGCCTGCCAACACAGGGGATATGGATTCAATCCCTGGCCGGGGAAGATCCCACATGCCGCGGAGCAACTAAGCCCGTGCACCACAAGTACTGAGTCTGTGCTCTAGAGCCCGTGAGCCACAACTACTGAGCCCGCGTGCCTAGAGCCCGTGCTCTGCAACAAGAGAAGCCACTGCAATGAGAAGCCCATGCACCGCAACAGAGAGTAGCCCCCGCTCGCTGCAACTAGAGAAAGCCTGTGCGCAGCAACAAAGACCCAATGCAGCCAAAAATAAAACAAACAAATAAATAAATAAATTTATAAAACAAACAAACAAAAAGGGACTTCCCTTGCGGTCCAGTGGTTAAGACCTTGCACTTCCATTGCAGGTGGTGCAGGTTCTATCCCTGGTTGGGGAACTAAGATCCCACATGCCTCCACACAGAGCAGCCAACAAAAAAAAAAAACCAACCGAAAAAACAAACATACAATGTCCTTATTTTTCAGATGAGGAAATAGTCAGCGAGGACAAGGGACCTGGCTGAGGTCACCCTACTGGTAAGAGGCCAAGGCCCAGTCTCACTCACATGCCTTCCTGGCTCCCCGACACCAGGCCCTGGCTGGCACTGGGCCATAGGGCTGAGCAGAGCAGGCTGGCCCACGGGGGCCGGGGCAGTTCACAGCCCACAGAAGCGCGCAGGGGCCTGACCTGTGGGTTTGGGAGGTATGTCAGGGAGGCCTCCAGAGGAGGGGGTCTTGGGATCTAGGGGTGAGGGAAGAAGGGTAGGAAGGGGATTCTGGTGGAGGAAAAAGCATGTGCAAAGGCCAGGTGGTGTGGGGAAGGCAAACTTAGGCCAGGGTGGCTAGAGTGAGGGTGCAAATGGAGAAGGATGGGGTCAGGGCTGCACTCAAGAGGTGGGAGTGGGAGGTGAGGGTAGTGGAGTCAGATGGGGTTCGGTGCCCCCAAGGCTACAGGGAGGAGAACCCTGGCCGGGCACGTCCCAGACACTTACCAAGGCTGGGCCGGGCCCTCAGCTGCCTGGGTCCAGGGCCAGCTAGAATGGGCATCTTGTCTCACAGGCTTAGGATCCCAGGACAGGGACAGGAAACTCTGGCCAAGGGGCCAGGAGACAAGCTCAATGGTTCTTCCAGCCGAGATGGGCTGAAGATCCTGGAAACCAACTCCCCTCTTCAGCTCTTCCCAGGATTTAGGTGCCCAGGTTGGGATCTGCAGAGACTCTGGGTCCTCATGCTGCCTTCCTAAAAACCTTATTTACATTAAAGTGTTAATGACTCATACAGCTTAAAATGTAGTGGTTCTCAACTCCGGCTATTCAGAAGAATCATCTGAGGTGTGTGTGAAGGTAATGACCATTGTTTATATAAAAATGACACATGCTCATTCTCAGACAAAACAAAACAAGCAATCTAGAAAAGTACAAAGAAGGAAGCCATAAATCCCCCCATTAGAATGCCAACTTCCTGAGCACAGGATTTTTCTCTCTTCTGTTCTCTGCTGTATTCTCAGCTCCTAGAACTTTCTGGCACAGAGCGGATGCTTAATACAGCCCTTCATTTACTGTTAACATTTGGTGAACGTCATATGTACACAGGGAACTTTGGAGAGACAACAAGGTACAGGTAGAGAGTAAGGTAAATAGGTGGAAATAATTTTTAAAAATGGGATTGTACCACACGTGCTATGTTTTAAACTACTTAATTTTAATTGAGTTTAACAGAAAGAAAATGAAAAAATTGCTGAATCTTAAATAAATTTTTACTTTCCACAGAGGTATTAGTTCATAATGAATGTCTCTAACAGTAAGAAAAAAATTATGAAACTCATTAAGAGATTGGAGTCTTGGGGAAAAAGAATAAACCCTTCACTTTGGGCAGGCTCAGTATTTCTTGGGATGAAAAAGATGATCACTTCCTGTATACATCCTCCCTCCTCACACGCTACAGTTCCTGATTTTGATGCTAATATTTTCACTTTGTCAAGGTTTATAACACATACTCTGTTCTGCAACTATAATTCTCCTAGTATTTCGTCTTAGTCCTGTACTTAAATAGATTCCATTCCATTTTGTAAGCTCACTGTGCCCCTGAGTTTTGCACTCGGAGTCATTTCTTGGCTGAATCAGGAAAATCTGTGAAGGACTTTGAATGAGACCAACAACAAAAAAGACTGGTGGGTGTCCTGCATTTAGGGACTCATGCCATTCATTGTCTTTGAGCAAATCTAAGTTGTAGAAAACCTAGAGTAGGGCTTGTCCATCAGAAATGCAAATGGATTTTGTCCAGTGGAATACAACTGACTGCTGTCTGTGGCCATTCATCAGTTTTACACGTATATGTAAATTCATTTCAGTATTTCTTATCTGCCTATATATGTGTGTGTTGTTCCAATTTTCCTTTGAATCAATTGGAAGATATTACTTGTTCCCTAATTACTTAATGAGTTTAATAAAAATTTTTGACATGTGTTCATTTTATATTGTCTGAGAGTCATGATTTTACCTTTGAAAAATGGACACTTTTTTTTTGGCTGTGCTGTGTGGCTTGCGGGATTTTAGTTCCCCAACCAGGGACTGAACCTGGGGCCATGGCAGTGAAAGTGCCGAATCCTAGCCACTGGACCGCCAGGGAACTCCCCAAAACGAACACTTTTAATGGTTAGCTAGATTTCACGGCTGAGTATGTTTTTTTTTTTTTTTCTTCAAAAAAAGGCTCAAGGGTGCTATTTTCCTCGACCCTTTCCATGTTGTCTACGAATCCAAACAACCTCACTAGGTGTCAAATTCTTGGTTTCCCCCTTTCCATACCACTTCGAACACTCAGCTCCCTTGTCTTCTGGTCCTGAATGTTGCTGTGGAAAAATCTGAGGCTGTCAACCAAAAAAAAAAAAAAACAAAAAAAAACAACCCTCACAAGGCTACAAATAAGGAAAGAGTTTATTTGGGGTCTTAAGGATTTTAAGTCAGGAGACACAGACTTGGGTAAAACCAAAAAAGTGTTCCAGGGGAGAGGAAGAGTCAGGGGCTTGTAAAGGCAAAAGCCACGAGGCTGTACTGACGCAAGAAAGGAAATATTTGTCCTTAAGGGATTGGCTGTCATGAATTATTTGAGGGTAAGGGTCCAATAAGTATCTGGAGTTTCTGGGACATTGGACAGATGTTCTGGATGCCTGTGTTAAGACGAGAAGATTCCATCTGGGCTGAGGCGTGCTTAAGTCACACTCCCTCAGTGGCCTCCGGCTCCATTTTAGAGAGCTCCCTTAGCAATACTGACTCCATTTTTATTTTCTTTTCATGAGGCCAGACTGATTTTTCTCTCCCCTCATTGTTGACTTGGTTTTTCCTCATGGGTGCCTGAAGGGTTGTTTTCTTTATCCTTAAAGTCCAGCAACTCCACTGGATTCAGTGTGCTCCCGGTGTCGATCAGTCTGAATCCCTCTTGTACCCTTTCAATCAAAACAGTGGGTTCTCCCTTTGTTTCAGGGAGAGTTTCTCTAAACATTCTTTTGCTTTAGCTGTTGGATAATCTACTTCAGGGACTCCAAGACCTCTGAGGTGGGAAGGTCTGTGTTCCATAATGATCATCTTCTCTTTAGTTGTTTGAATTTATGTGTCCTCTTTCTCTGAATTCACTGTGACTAGTTCAAGTTTCTCTCTGTGCCATGAATTTGCTTTTCAGACCTGGGCCCTGTGTTGCAACTCCATTTTTAGATGTGCAGTGGTCCTGCTTGGGTCCTTAGTGTGTGTCCTTTCCTCTTCAAGCTCTCTTTGCATCTCCTGATGCTATATATATATATATTTTAAATTAATTAACTTATTTTTGGCTGCGTTGGGTCTTCGTTGCTGCGCGCGGGCTTTCTCTAGTTGCAGCGAGCGGGGGTTGCTCTTTGTTGTGGTGCGCAGGCTTCTCATTGGGGTGGCTTCTCTTGTTGTGGAGCACAGGCTCTAGGCACACAGGCTTCAGTAGCTGTGGCTCGCGGGCTCTAGAGTGCAGGCTCAGTAGTTGTGGCGCAAGGGCTTATCTGCTCCACGGCATGTGGGATCTTCCCGGACCAGGGCTCGAACCCGTGTCCCCTGCATTGGCAGGTGGATTCTTAACCACTACGTCACCAGGGAAGCCCCTGATGCTATTTTTTAATCATCTCTCCTCTGTGCTCTTTTTATATCCGACTCATCTTCTCATTAACTCTTCTCTCTCCTGAAGCTATTAGTTTCAGGGAAGCTGCCTTTGATCCTCAGCCCCATCCCCTCCCAGCCGTGCCCTCATAAGATTTCCTTCCCCTTCCTGGCAGTTGGCAGGGTGGCCTTGTGAGTTCTTTTCATCTTGTTCAGTTAATTTAGCAACTCCACCACTTCTCACATGGGAACCAGGCTGCCTTCCCCCAGAAAGACGGTTTCGAGAGCTGTGTTGTTTTTAGTCTGCTTTTTGGGAGCCCAAATGTGCAGGGGCTGGGGGAGACTCCCCACACCGAGGCCACCCTTGCTGGGGGCACAGGTCTTCTGTTTCCTGCCATCCCTCACATACCCTGCACCCCAGACCCCCTCTGCCCAGCCAGTCAGGCCTGTGTCCTACTCCCATGTCCCAGGCAGCCCAGGATTCGTGAGGACAGAGGGCCCTGGAGGCCACTGCTCTGGAGATTGTCGGCTCATTCTCTTCATAACTTGTCGTTGTTGCTCACTTTGTCAGGTACTGGGGTAGGGAGAGTCTGTGTTCTCCCCTCACTCTGCCTTCTAAAGTCTGAAATCCTCTCCTAGGCAGCCTCTTAACAAATGCAAATCTCCAGGTCCTGCCCACCCAGAGGCCTAGAGGCCCAGAGACTTGGATTCTGTGGGTCTGGGTGGGACCTCTCCCTTCCCATCCCAAGTGATGTGGGTGTACAGGTCAGGGTTGAGGACTGCTGAGTCATTTACCAGGGCCATCTACATTTTTGTCAGATTAAAGGAATGTGTCTCTGATTATGTAAAATCACATGGCTATGAACATTTCATAGTTTTGGAATGTCCTAGTGGGTGGGCATATTGGATCATTCATTCTATTGGTGAGGATTCGGAGGCCCAGAGAGGGAAGTGACTTGCCCAAGGTCACGTAGCAAGTCAGCAACAGGTTTGAAGAACTGAACAGACAGGTTTGAAGAACTGGAAATTCCAACCCCAGATATGGGGCCTCGGGATCAGGGTAGCCAACCTCAGAGAGCAGGAAGGTCTCTGCCTGTGGCATGAGCAGCTCACTTCCCATCTTGGGGCCTTGAAGAGAATATATGGTTGTGGCCCTTCCCCTGGGGAAATTCGGTCCGGAGCGTCACTGGGGACGGGGGCCAGGCCAGGAGGCACACCACCAATCCAAGCCCTCCCAGGAGGAGTGACCCCACTTCCCCTCATGCCTGCCTCACCCCATTCACCCACTGTCCCATAGCCACGCTCTCATCACCAGGCCAGGACCTGGTCAGGACCTTGGGCCAGGTGGCAGGTTGAGTTGTCCTGGTGAGGAAGCAGCATCCGAATAGGTGGGGAATCTGGGATCAAGGCTAAAGAAGGGTCGGTCAGGCCTTTCTGGGAGGGTCCCCCACCTGCCCAGGGAAGGGGCTGCAGGAGCAGTATGGGCCAGGACAGGGCAGTGCAGCTTGACCCTCCATCAAGAGGATGGGCCAGGGACTTCCCTGGAGGTCCAGTGGTTAAGACTCTGCGCTTCCACTGCAGGGGTGTGGGTTCAATCCCTGTCAGGGAAGATCCTGCATGCCGTGGGACTTGGTCAAAAAAAAAAAGGATGGGCCAGGAGCCTCTGGGCAGCTGGGTCGAGCTCTCAGCGTGTCCTGGGTGTTGTCAGCCCCTGGCCTGTTCTCGTCCTGCCCCACCAGCCTGGTGACATCAGGCAGCCTGAGGAGAATCCCGGGCCCAACACCTGCCTGGTTTCAGGGCTCAGCTGCCTCAGGGACTAGCAGGACCCTCTCACAGGTTGCGGTAAGGGTGGATTCCTGTAAAGGCATGGGAAGCGCGGGCTTCCTGTAATGGAGCTGCTGAGCTCGGAATAGATCCATTCCACAGGGAAACAAGAAATACTTGATTGGAGTATTTTTGTGAGGAGATGGGGAAAAGGAATCTCATCCTTCCCCATAATAAAGCTGCAACTGCTTTTCTCTCTGGGCCATTTCTGCTCTTTCCTTGCTAAACGCCCCCTCCTCCTCCTCTCCCACCCCCACCTGGATTCCTCTCTGTTGTTCAATCCCAGCCCTCTGTTTGCACAGCTCTTACCAAAACAGGGGGGGCTGACAGTAGACCCCGAGGGTGTCCCGCTGAGTGTGTGAATGAGGACGGTGGCCACGGCTTGCCCAGCGCTTGCCATGCTCTGGGAAGTCCAGGAAGCGAGCCTGTGGCAGGACCATCCTGACCCCATTAGACACAGGAGCGCCCAGGGAGGAAGTGCCAATTTGGGATTCAGACTCAGGCCACCCAGGCCCCAGCTGCTGCTGCAGCTGACCTTGAACCCATCACAACATGCACGGGCTTCTTGGCTCTACAGCAAGCCCAGAAGGAGACAGGCCAGGTATCTACCACCATCCCACCAAATCCCATTTTTCAGATGAGAAAGCGAGGCTAAGGGAAGCTAAGGGCTCACGTGGCTGATATGCCCCAGAGCCTGCACTCACCCTGTTCTGCAGCTCTTTCGACTGTTTTAGTCTGAGCTGCACCATGGACTCTGTACACCTCTCCATGCCCGATCCTCCAGCTGTCCCGGCCACCCTGCCGAGCACACCATCTGCTTGGTCTGTGATGGGGCAGATCCCTTCCTCTTCCCCAAGGCTTGTCTCCCCCACCAGATTGCAGGCAGCCGGTCATTATGGCGAACTGTCATCAGGCTTTTTTGCCTGGTGTTCACAATTCCTAATTTGTTCTCCCCATTTTGTAGTGTCGAGTCCTCTCCTCACTTTGGAGAAGGCTTGGCTCTCAGGTAAGGAGGTGCAGAGCTAGCTCAGTCCTGGGTCTTGGTTTCAGGGAGCCCCTGTGTGCTCCTGGGAGGAGCTGTACTGTCCAGGGAGCCTGCTGAGGCCTTCTTCAGTCTCTCTGAGGCAGGGTCTCTTAACTTTTTAGGGGTGCTGGCCTCTTTGACCATCTGAAGAAAGTCGTGGCCCTCCTCCCAGAAATCTGCACAGACATACAAAAAGAGTACATACAATTTAGAGGTTTATACGCCCTCTGACATCCATCCCTGGGTCTTCCAGGGGTTCCTAGAGTCTGTATTGAGACCTCCTATGTTAGGAGGTGCTGTCTGCCAGTTTCCAGAACCCAGAATCTGGTTGCTTATGACGATTAGATAGCTGGATGTGTCCATGCCTGAAGGAAGCTTTTTTTTTTTTTTTTTTTTTTTTTTTTTTTTTTTTTTTTTTTGCTTTTTGTAGATTCATTTACTGCTTTAAAGTTTTTAATGGTTCGGCAGTTACAGGAATTTTTTTTTAATCAGAAAGAAAAATATTTACATCTCAAATACAAAAGAAAATTTTAAATTATTCTTGGTTGATCTCTAAAACCCAACCACTTACATGCTCATGATTTTTTTTTTACCAACTCACTTTATCTATTCAACATGTGCATCCTGTGTACTTACTAAACATTTACTTGCACTTGTATTTTCTGTGTCAGGTTTATTCTCTCACCCTGGAGAGAGATTTCACATGTTGCTTCCTCTTCTCAATTGCATTGTCAGGATTAAGGCTTATGGCATCAAAAGTTCCTTTGTCAATACAAATATGAAATCCAGACAGCTTCGTGGAAGGATTCAAAAAGGCTTCTTTTTTTATAACTTAAAGAAAAAATCAATTAATTAATTTTTGGTTGCATTGGGTCTTCATTGCTGCACGTGGGCTTTTCTCTAGTTGCGGTGAGCGGGGGCTACTCTTCACTGTGGTGTGCAGGCTTCTCATTGCAGTGGCTTCTCTTGTTGTGGAGCATGGGCTCTAGGCGCACGGGCTTCAGTAGTTCTGGCACGTGGGTTCAGTAGTTGTGGCTCTCGGGCTCTAGAGCGCAGGCTCAGTAGTTGTGGCACACGGGCTTGGTTGCTCAGCAGCATGTGGGATCTTCCTGGACCAGGGCTCGAACCCGTGTCTCCTGCATTGGCAGGTAGATTCTTAACCACTGAGCCACCAGGGAAGCCCCCAAAAGTCTTCTACGTTCAACATAATGTTAGATAAACCTTCTTTCTCTATAATACTTCCAGAAAGCTGTATTGCAGAAGGAGAGTAATCCATTTCAGAAGTATTAGAGAAACCAAATTTTGCCTCCTATTCTTTTAGTGATCTCAAGCCATATTCTTCAAGATCTTCATTTTCTCCCAGTTTCCCTCATTTCCTTCTCTATCAGACCAACAAGGTTAGCCAGTAAAACGCCATTCCCGTTCCAGCATCAAGCACTGATGCATCCAGTGGAATCTTGTGTTTCTGCCTCCACCTTATTAGTCAAGCCATAACCAGATTTCTCCTGTATCCCCATACTCTTGGAAAGTCTGCAGCTCTCTCTCGTAGACAGCATCCCAATGCTCTCAGGTGCCCAGTGCAGACGGGGTGAAGTCATCCTCTCCAGGACTGCCCTCTCGGGTGGTGGCTTCTTTTTTTGAGAGAGCAATTTCAAAAAAAGGATCAGGTTGAGAATGGCTGAGCTGAGTGAGGACTACACCCAGTTTATTCGCCAGTCAATTTCTGCACAGATATATGCAACAGACGACACATGGGGGGGGTCTATGCTACAATAACAAAAGTTCATGTTCAGTGAGTGCCAGGCAGTGTGCTACCTGCTGATCACGCATTATCTCATTAAATCCTCATAACAATCAATCCCACAGGGTTATGCTATTATGATCACTCTCAGGCAAAGAGAAGTTAAGTAACTTACTTAAGGTCACACAATAAATGGATTCAGTTGGCCTGTGACCTCAAGCACTCTGACTCCAGAATCATTTGATAGTCTTCCTTGCTATGAACTGGTTGAAACACAGCCCGCGGGGTGACTGGCCCCATCCTGTTCTGAGGTTTGGCTTTGGATGTTGTAGGGTCAGGGCAAAGGGACCAGGCTCTAAGTGGATGCTGAAATGACAGTTTTCTGGAAAGCCTCTGTAGCACACTGGTGCCCCAAGCCCCCTATCTCAAATCCCCAGTGGACTGTATCATGAAGTGGCATTTGCCTGGCTTGGCAGGGAGACAGAACTCCGCTCTCCAGCAAATTTGGGAGGTCATGTGACCCCATTTGACTCCATAGGCTGGTAAGGACTGGGAAATCTCAACTTACACTCTTTCCAACGCTTTTAAGGTTTCCTTTACCTCCAGTGCTCTCTGCAAAGCGCCTGCGGGAAACAGCGTTCCTGCTTCTGCTTCCCTGTTGCCGAGTCTGTTGAAGACGTACTCGGATGCTGGAGGAGCTTTTCTGTGACAACAGACCCCTTCCTGCAAATAGCTCTCACCAAGCAAGGCTGTTCCACCTGCACATTCCTAAACACCCTCTGGAGGCTTCCGGCCCACCCTAAAGGCTCGGCTGACATTGCGGGAAGCCAAGGATGAAAGAGGTTGCCTTGCCCAAGGCCCAAAGTTAAGTTCCCAGCAGCTAAGGTTTGTATTCGCCCTGAGGGCTGACCCCTGGTGCCCTTTCCTCTGCCCTAGGCAGGTCTCAAAATGTGGGCCCGGGGACTTCCCTGGTGGCGCATTGGTTAAGAATCAGCCTGCCAATGCAGGGAACACGGGTTTGATCCCTGGTCCGGGAAAATCCCACATGCCAAGGAGCAACTAAGCCCGTGCACCACAACTACTGAGCCTGCGCTCTAGAGCCCTCGAGCCACAACTACTGAGCCCACGCGCCACAACTACTGAAGCCCACGTGCTTAGAGCCCGTGCTCCGCAACAAGAGAAGCCACTGCAATGAGAAGCCCGCACACGGCAAGAAGACCAGCCCCCGCTCGCTGCAACTGGAAAAAGCCCACGTGTAGCAACAAAGACCCAAAGCAGTCAAAAAGAAAAAAAAAGAGTGCCCGGGGTGGCTGGTGGCCTCAGCATCACCAGGGAGCATGTTAGAAATGCAGACCCTTAGGCCCCAGCCCAGATCTTCTGATCCAGAAACTGTTTTACCCAGCCCTCCAGAGATGCTGAACCTTTGAGAACCACTGACCTAGGCTTCTGCCTTCTCAGCTGTGATGAAGCTCTGCACAGGTAGCGATGATTAGTTTGAATTCCAAGTCCTCCATGCATTCTGGTCTTCCCCACACGTGAGTGGACTTCAGAAAATCACTAAATGGGGAAATCGGCCAGCTTTCTGAGAATGAGTAAGACACTAATAATCAAAAGCATCAATGCACACATACAAAAGGAAATCTAAGTGAATACTGAGGCCAACTGGAAGGCAACTTTCACTTGTCTTGGTGAAGCCAACAGAAGCAGTAAGGGGGGAGCCTCCCCACAGGCCTGGCAGTACCAAGTGGGCAGCGGGATTTTAAGATCCAGTGGGCCCCAGGCCCCCGTCCCCATCCTCCTATCTCATCGTCTCATGGGGAGGGCCGTCTAGGCAGGTGCCTTCAGAGCGGCCCCTTCACCCACTCATCCAGCATGTTATTAGGCACCTGCTGTGTGCTAGGTCCTTCCAGCCAGAACCCCGGTCTGGGGCAAAGTGCAGACCTCAGCTAAGGAGTGGCAGGACTTGTAGGGTGGGGGTCCTTGCAGGCCACCTGGGGCCTCCTTCTCCTTTCCCCCGTGCAGCACCCTCTCCTTGAGCTGGAGCTCCTGCTGTGCTCCCCATTGGCACCTAGGCAGGTGAACCAGCACAGGGCACTCGTCCCCTGGAAGTGAGAAGGGTGGCCAGGTGGGGAAGTGTTGCCTTCTGCTCAGGAATGGGCAGGGTGGCCCCAGTGGCGATGGCCAGACCCTGGGGTCCCCAGCCTAGAGGCCACAGGGCCACTCCAGCCTCAGCACCCTGTGCAAGTTCAACTCCACTGACGCCTGCTGGCCTCGCTTGGTCCTGGCCCTGGGCTGGCCCTGGGAGGGGGTGCTTGCTCCAGGCCCACAGCCTATTCCTAGTCCACTGGGGGCTCTGACCCCACAGCCCTTCTGGAGCAAAGCTAAACCCCAAGGTGGCCGAGTGGCTCTCCCTTGCTTTATTCTGATTATAAAAATGATAAGAGTTTTTTGTAAAAAGTCAAGCAATTCAGAAAAGTAAAAATCATCTCAATTCTACTACTGTTAATATTTTGGTGAGCAACCCTCTCTATCTAAACACACACACACACACACACACACACACACACAGGTAAAGTGACAAAATCTTTACTAGCCATGTTGTTCTGTAGCCTTTTAAAAAAAATGAGCTGAGCTGTCATTTAAGAGACATACAATGCCGAGTGCTGTGCCTTATGGCATGGTCCTTCCTGCAGCCCACAAGGGACCTGGGGTCCCAGGCTGGGCAGCAGGGTGGCATGGATTTACAGCAAAGGGGTAGGACTCTGTTCGGCTTCTCAAAAACATGCTGTGGATGACTTTCTAGGTCAATAAGCAGAGCATTCATCACATGCTCTTAAATATAAAAAATAAGTTAGCACAGAGTTGGCATTTTTTTGTGGGGTGTTGGTGTGGTCTTTGCGGATTTACTTGCCAAGCTCAGAGGAGGCAACATGGGCTGGACAGAACCCTCATGCGCACACGCATGCATACCCCACACATCGCAGGAGATCCTGGGCCCCAGGGGGGCTGCACTGGGGCCTGGACCAGGGGCTCCCAAATTGACCCCTCCGGCAACAAAGCGTCCTCCTACCTGGAAAGGGCCAGGACTGTCGGTCTGCCTGATGTGGGATCGCTATCTCTCAGGGATGTCTTCAAAGCATGTCAACAGCCCCTGTCCCTGCCCCATGTCCCCTCCTTGGCCAGTGGGATCTGTCGACTCCTGTCACCTTGCTACCCTGAGAGCTGCTACTTCTCTTGCTGGATGAGCAAGAACCTCCCGCCTGTCTGCTGGCGTCCGGCCTCACCCACTCCAATCCTTTTCTGACCCTGGGGTCAGAGTAATTTTTCGAAGGCAAATTGGATCACGTCTCTCTGGCTTCAGAGCCTTCCCTGGGGACAGGTCCCGCTCCTCAGCCAGGACCATCTGGGATGGCTTCTCCACCTCCCGCAGCCCGTCCTTAACCCTGGGGAGGTCCCCTCTCAGGCCAAGCTTCATCACACCTCCAGCCTTTACCCCTGCGGTTCCCTGGGGTGTCCTTCTCGTGTTCTGAATTCCTACTCATTCTCCAAGGCTCAAACTTCATTTCCTGTGCCCTCTGGACTGGATTAGGTCTCCCCTGGGGGCTCCCACAGCACCCCCACACCCCAATGCTGCTTCTCCTCTCCTTCCCCCGGGGTGAGCGATCGCTGTTTCCCTCCCTGACTGTGACCTCGCCGAGTGCCAGGGCCATGCCTGGGTCTCTGTGTTTGGCCCAGCAAACATTTGTGGAACATCTGACCAGAGGTGCTGGCAACCAGCTCGGGCGGCAGGGCCAGCGGCTACGTTTACCGTGCAGATGAGAAGTTGAGGCTCAGAAAGGCCACAGAGCTTGCAAAGGTCACACAGCGAGTGCGAAGGGAGCAGGACCGCTGGGCTGGGAACCGGGACCAGGCGGTGACAAGTGGATGGCGGTCCCCCGTGGCAGGGCACGTGTGGCCTGCATGTGGTAGGCTCGTGGGGCTGGCGTGGGAGGCCTGCTCTCGCAGTAACTGTCAAACCACGGCCACCGCAGAGGTTGATGCTTCCGTCTTGAGGTTAGTAGGGATCCCTGCTCCCCAGGTCACGAGAGGCTTGGGGGCCCCTCGCTGGGGAGGAAGCTCCGGGGTGCTAGCCGTGAGAGGGACTCTGGCCGCAGGTCTCGTTTTTCAAACACGCCTCCTTCCAGGCTGGGGTTTCAGACCTGTCCTGAGAGCAGTGAAGGTCACCGGGTCTGGATGTCCAGTCACCTGTCCTGTGGAGGGGGACGCAAGGACCTGTGTGCTCTGTTCCCACACAGAGCTGGGCAGGGGCCGAGGCCCGACTTCTGTGGGAACTTAAGGCTCCTGGCAGAGGCTGAATACGTGGGACCAGGACAGGCCGTGTGTGTGGGACCCACAGGGATAGACAGAGGCCCCCTGAGTAGGCTGAGGGGCCATCCAGGCTACTGATGCTCACCAAACTCTCTGTGGGATGCTGGAACCACGCAGTCAAGCTGTGATGACACCAAAACCCCATCCCCCACACCTGCAGGCAGTAGGGACACGGCCTCAGGCCCTCCTCCCTGGTTGGGAAATGCCTCCCTTCCTCAGAACCACTTGGTTGTGTGGACTCAAGTTCAGGCTTCCGGCTAGCCTCTTGTCCTGTCCTCTGTCCTCTGCCCCGCAACCAGAACAGGGGCCCAGCAGCCCACTCTAACCTCTATGGGATTCGGTTTCCTTCTTCCTTCTTCTCTTGCCAACATGGAACATGGGTCTGGCTGAGGAAAGCCGGTCTGGGGGTGGGGAGAACAGGAGAGTGAGTGTTTTTTAAAAGGCAGGAGCTTTCTAAAGGCCAAGGGTACTTGTCTTAGTAGCTCTGGTGGTGTCTGGCACAACTGTGGAAATTGAGCCCTTGACTCCTAGCAAACGGGGGCTGGGCCCATGGCCTGGAGCACCTAGCAGGGGCCGGTAGAGGCTTGGGTCCCCCGAGCACGTCCCACCAGCCTGCTTCTCCAAATCCTGTCTGTGATGCCACGTGGGGGACGTGATTTCTGCCTTGAGTCAGAAGTGACTGCTGGAGCCTCCTGGGGACTCCACCCTGGCCTCCACTAAAGGCCTTAGGGGCCATTGTCCCTCTGCTCAGGGGCCTCTGTCAGGATGGGGGCACAGGCTTGGGTGAGATTCACCCCTGCCACCAACCCAGGCTGCTGCTCAGAGCAGGAGAGCCAGGGTGGGGACTCTGGGAGCCTCCCAAGCACAGGGTGGGCCTTAGGGGCTCAGAGCAGCTCCAAGCTGTAGGAGGAGAAGCAGTTTATTAAGAAGAGCAAGAGGGCCTGGACCACAGCCTCCGCTTCCTCTTCTGGATAAAAAACCACAGCTTAGCTGTGCTGGCTGATAATTCTGCAGCTTCTGTCCCTGGGGCCTGCCCCAGGGGCCTGAAGTTTTGAGCAGGCAGCCCCTGGGGCTTTGGCTGGAAAAATGGGGTTGGGAGAGGAGGTTGGATTGTTCAGGGAAAGAGCATAGACCTGGATTCCTTATAATTTATCTTCTAAACTGGAGCACTTTCAAGAATGAAAGGGAGCTGTCTTAATTATTACACCTGGGCAGCAGATGCAAACTGAGATGTATGTTACCCTAATTACCACCATTTCCTAGCTGTGTGGATTTGGGCAATTACATAACCTTTCTGAACTCTAGTTTCTGCATAAAAAAAGACTGATATGTGCCTGTTTCCCAGGGCTGGTGGAAGGATTAAAGAAGTGCATTACTGTGTGTGAAAATGCCTGAACAGCCCTCAGCATAGACCGGGCTCTCCATGTTTGCTCTCTTCCAGTGAGATAGTGGGTTCCCTGTCCCTGGAGATAAGCAAGGACTTGTCAGCTCTCTGGAGCAAGTTCTCATGGTGGGAGAGGGGCTGGGGAAGGTATGTATATAGCTGGAGAGTCAGATTCTAATCCTTCCTGTGCCCTCCAGAGGGGTGACGGTGAGGGTGGGAGAGCCCGAGCCCCCACCCTCAGGCCTACCTGTACCTGGGGAGGGTGGGCCAGTGAAGGGTCCTAGGCTGGAGCTCCTTCGTGGATTTGTCCCCGCCCCTCCTCCCAGGTGGTGGTGATTTCGGCACTCATGGAGGACCCCTACCAGCGCCCAGCCTGGATTGGCTTCGCTATGACCATCTCTGTCTTCAGCTGCCAGAGGTCCCAGTTTTGGTTCAGGGAAAGTCCGTGTGCTTCTGTCCTCCTAAGATGGCGCTGTATGGATACGGCTGCATTCTCTGGGAGCTGGAGGCTGAACTGAAGGAGGCTGCTTGCATTTTCTGTGGCTGCTCCTGGGGACTGAGAAATTGAACAGACCCTGCTCCAACCCAACATTTTTTTTTCTAATTAATTATTTTTGGCTGCACTGGGTCTTTGTTGCTGTGCGCGGGCTTTCTCTAGTTGCAGCGAGTGGGGGCTACTCTTTTGTTGCGGTGCGTGGGCTTCTCATTGTGGTAGCTTCTCTTGTTGCGGAGCACGGGCTCTAAGCACGCGGGCTCAGTAGCTGTGGCTCGCGGGCTCCAGAGCACAGGCTCAGTAGTTGTGGCGCATGGGCTTAGCTGCTCCACTGCATGTGGGATCTTCCCGGACCAGGGCTCGAACCCGTGTCCCCTGCATTGGCAGGCGGATTCTTAACCACTGCGCCACCAGGGAAGCCCCGCAACCCAACATTTTTAAAGAGGTGGGTGTGGGGCCTGCCTGACCCCGGGCTACCCTAAGGTCTCCAGGCTTCAGGTTCCTGCAGCGAGTTCCTCTTCAGTGCTTGGTGAAAGGCGTAGGTGACAGGGGTGGGGGTGGTGCTGGCCCTGCTCACAGACTCTGCGTTCCACCCTGGGGCTCCCACTGCACTGCCTTCGCCTGTCCTCCCCATTGCTCTGGGAGCCCCTGGAGGCAGAGTGGGCACTGCCGAGGGCACAGCTAGCTCCAGAGTCCGGGCAGAAGAGGGGCTCAGTAAAGGAATGAATGAACGAGTGAGGTCAGAGCCGGGAAGTGACCCGATGTCTGTGGCATCAGCTCTGTGCAGAGGCTACCCACTCTGTCCCCAAAGCCAGAGCTGCTGAAGGTAGAAGGGTGTGACCTCCTGCCAGACACCCTCGTGCACTGCCAGCTCTCCAAGGCGACCTCAGGCCAGCGACATTATCCCAGCAGCCTCGACTACTGGCTGCTTTGCCCTCCATCTCCTCTCCTCACCCCAAGGTTCTTCTGGCCACTTGAGTCAGAGCTTGCCGGAAAGATGGTTCCTGAAAATGTCAGCTCTTGTAGGCATCTGGAGGTTAACAGTGCATGGCCCTCAGCAGACTCCTGTCTGGCCAGTCTCTTGCATTAAACGAGGGACCAAGGGCCCAGGTGGAGGTCGAGGAGGCAAGAGGTAGGCGTGCAGCTACAATGGCGGCCCCTAGGGGTGGGTGCAGGGTCTGCCTCAGCACCGTCTCCAGGCCAAGGCCACAGACTTCCAGCCAACTCCGTCTTCCAACACCTTTGGCCCAGGCAACGTCTCCTCAGCTCTACCCTCTTGACGGAGGTCAAGGAGAGAAGTGGGACACCAAACAGGTGTCACCAAGGTTGCATGACAGCTAAGAAAAGATGTCTCCAAAAATGAGGGACTGGAAGTCCGAAAAGAGGTGCCAAAACACTATGAGACTTGCTGGCTCATTAGCCGATTCAGGGAGGGGTCTTGAAAAGTAAGGCTTCCCTGATGCTAAAGGACGTCACCAGCATTTAATGCATTCTTAACATTTGACCCTGTTCTTGTGGACCCCAGATTCGGAATATCATCTAAGTGCTGACAATCTGCTAGGCAAGAGAATGGCATCTCATTGTTCTAATTGGTACTTTTAATGAGGGAGATGGAGCATTTTTCACATATTTGTGGGCTGTTTGCATTTCCTTTTCTGAGAACAGCCTAGTCACATCCTTTGTTCATTTTTCTACTAGGTTGTCTTTTTTTTCTTAATGATTTATAGATACTCTTTGTATATTATGGATATTAATCCTTTGCCATATATTTTTTCCCTTTTTCCTCTGTCATTTATGTTTTAATTTTGTTTACGTTGTCTTCTACAAAAAGTTTTACAGTTTCATGCTGTCCCATGCGAGTCTTTTTCTTTGGCTTCTGTGTTTCATGATGTTGTACTTAAAATTTCTCTCACTGAGATGATTCAGCTGCTGCTTCAGATGTTCTGAGAACGACGGCCACAACACTTGCAGTGGCAGCAAATCATGCATGTGTTTCAAAAGAAAATGTTTATTTTAAAAATAAGAACTGTCACCCCAAGCACTTATTTAAATATTAATAGATATGGATAAAAATTACAAATGGTATTATGAAACTAACAGCTTTATATTCACAGATGGTCAGATGCTGACAAACAACAACTAAGATCTATGTACACTGAGATGAGATTTGGTTGTTATGAAAATGCATATGAAGGCTTAAGAAACGGCCTATTTACAGGCTTTGGTGGAGCCATAATCCCCAATTTTCTACTGACTCCTGATGCCGCTTGAGAGCCATGCAAAGCTGAACTGGGTCCAAATATGCTGGAGGATTTAGTTTTAGAAGGTATCCTTCTGCATGTGCTGGACCCCCTAAAATGCGACAAAGAAAAGAAAATTAAAATGTCAAATAAAACCAAAAGTGAACAGTTTTCTTTCTCTTAACCTGCATGCAGCTATATAATCCATGATTTTCCTTGGTGTTCCATGTCTCTGCATTTTCTGCCTATAATGGCCCTGGATGGGGTCAGTTTCCTTTACAATTCAAGGAGTAAATGACTGTCACCCTTTACACCAATTTGTCCTACGTTTGTCCTCTTAAAACGTCAAGGATTCTGTGACTTGAGCCCAACCCCATGTGCCTTCTCTCTACCCTTTCACAGACCCCTCCCTCCAGGCATCTGAGCTGAGATCCATGCTCCCCATCTACTCCGACCACAGAAAGGAAGTGAGAATACCTTGTTTTAAGGCCTCAATGCCCAGACAATAGACACTGTGGAATTACTGTGCTCCCACAGTCCAGAGGAAGGGGGCTTTGTGGGTGGGTGGAGACAGAGCAGAGCGAGCCTCCTCCTGCAGAGGGGAAGGCTGCAGATGTGGTTCCCCGGGCCCGCAGCAGCGGGGGCCTGGCACATCTCTGTCAGGGCCCCGTTGCCAGAGGCTTGCTTGCTCGTCTACATTCCAAGATCTGCCTGCTCTCACTTCCCACTCGCTGCCTTTAAAAAAGGGTGAGGGCTTCCCTGGTGGCGCAGTGGTTGAGTGTCCACCTGCTGATGCAGGGGACACAGGTTCGTGCCCCGGTCCGGGAAGATCCCACATGCAGTGGAGCGGCTAGGCCCGTGAGCCATGGCCGCTGAGCCTGCGCATCCGGAGCCTGTGCCCCGCAACAGGAGAGGCCACAACAGTGAGAGGCCCACGTACCGCAAAAACAAAATAAAATAAAAATAAAAAATAAGAAAGGGTGAGAGGCCCCTGCCACAGCCTATTACAAAGTCCTTCCAGCACCTCACTTCCCCCACTGATCTGAAGATAACAGCTTTTTCTCTCCGCTGAAAATAAATGGTAAAAAAAAAAAAAAAAAAAAAAAAATCACAGGGTCAGCATGTTAGCCTTTCCCTAAACGAGTATTTCCCGCCCCATTGTAACCAGGCTGAATTCATGCCTGGTGTTAATTCCCTTCCATCAGGCACACAAGTGGCCTCTGATCTGATCTCTGAATTTAGGGGCCCGGGTATGAGGGCCACCAGTCTGCTAATGACATTTTGGTGGGGCTGAGGGAAGAGTGGTTTTTTAAAAACTCTTGCTCGAGGGCAATTTTACTGCAGAACTGGCAAAGATGTGCTAAACCAGCAGAGAAGCAGCCTTAAATTTCCCTATGCTGATTTCCTGCTGAGATATTAAGTCCCCAGCAAAAACCTGCTGTTTATGTTGATTTGCAGAATGAATCTGCCTTCAGCAGCCTCTATTTCACCAGAGTCATCCATTTTACTCCCACTCAGAGCCCAGAACACAACCAGTTCATTGCGTGTTCTTCTGAAGATGTGAAACTCTGAGGGTAGGGTGGGGTGTTAAGGGTTCTGGCAAAGAGCCACGTTTATTTTGTGGCTGTGTGGATCCTCAGCTAGGTGAGCAGCCTGGACACGTGGGAAGCCACCTTGCAGAGTGGTTCAGTGGAAACGAGGATAACGGGGCACAGATACAAAGAGGCTGCTACAGGGTAAAGCAAAGTTACACTACTTCCTGGTTTTAGCCAGTAGGGACCAGAAAATAATCCCACCTTAAACACACGGGCTAATTAAAAACTAGCATCAAAAGTGGTACTGGGGCTTCCCTGGTGGAGCAGTGGTTGAGAGTCTGCCTGCCGATGCAGGGGACACGGGTTCGTGCCCGGGTCCGGGAAGATCCCACATGCCGCGGGGCGGCTGGGCCCGTGAGCCATGGCCGCTGAGCCTGCGCGTCCGGAGCCTGTGCTCCGCAACGGGAGTAGGCCACAACAGTGAGAGGCCCGCGTACCGCAAGAAACAGAAACAAAAAAACAAAAGTGGTACTGGCTTTTGGACAAATATGAGTTTTACTACTTACTAGCTTAGGTTCTAGGCCATAGGGCAAAGTGCTTCCATCTTATCAACAAAAGTTGTGAAAACAATAAGAGAGCCAATGGTTTACTCTGTTCTAACTAGCAACAATGAGGAGATCATGATGGGTTTTCAGGAATCTCCGTGGACCACGTGCAACAGTGAAAGTGCTCCAGGCAGGCCTGGGTGAGCCAGTGTCCAGTCCTACCTGTGAGACTGGTACCAGGCTGGGGACAGCTTCACATAAACCTTCCCCAGGGGAAGCTTCAGGAAGCCTCAGCTTTCTCATGATAAATCCCAGGGAGTTGGACAGAGGCCTTTTAAGGTCTTCTACTCTGTGTGAGTGCCTGAGGAAATGAGTATTTCCCAAGATGGGGGAATAAATGAAGAAAATAAGAAAATGTCCCTACTGAAGAGCGTCTGCAGGTCACTTGCACACTAAAAACCACAAAAATTATTATTCGGCCATAAAAATGAATGAAATCCTGCCATTTGTGACAACATTGATGGACCTCGAGGGCACTATGCTAACTAAGTCAAGGACAAATTCTGTATGAACTCTCTTACATGTGGAACCTAAATATATATATATATACATATATATAAACCATGTTTGCAGATGCGAGAACATATTGGTGGTTGCAAGAGGTTGGAGTGGGGTGGGTGTAGGATAAATGGGTAAAGTTTTTTTTTTCTTTTAAAAGTTTAAATAGAATTAAAATAAATAAATAAAACCCACAAAATTAAACTAATATTTACTAATGCCTTTAATTTCTGTACCCCAACAGAAGGATTAGCACATACAAGATGTCTATTTATGGACTTAACAAGGAAATGACAATTT